AGACGTCCCACAATTTTTTTTCCATTCGTCTCATTAGCATTTCAAATGACGAGATAATATATCTAGTAGACGGTTTAAAAAAAAAAAACTTTCGGTATTATCTTCAGTGATGAAACCACAGACGCTTTACCGTGTCGCGGGACGTACATCCCGCTTGAAGCATTCATAAAGAGGGCATTTAATACACAGCGAGATCATATAAGCTTATGCATACAAGTAGCCCTGTTAATTCCCCCCGAAACCAATAACCTTCAAGCGAATTATCATTAAAACAAGTTTACCCAGGGCCTCGTATTAGGAAGGTGACCGTTAGACCATATTAGAGCCACCCCCCACAGGTTTCTGCCCCCCACCCGCACACTGTTGTGATGTTGCTGTGGGGGCTGTGTGGTGATTAGATGCGGAAATCTGCGCGCCATCTACGTTTTTTTTTTGTTTTGAGGTGAACTTCTAACTTTTAATATTTGACCTCTAACCGATGAGGCCGGAGGGGGTTGGGAGAGGGGAGGGGTGTGAGGGGGGGGGGGGTGTAGTGGGGAGGAGGTTAAAGTCTGGCTTGGCTTTCTCCTTTGATTGTCCTTCCCTTGTTTTTGTTGATTCAAAGAACAGATTAGTTTTCTTTACCGGTATAAGAATATATGATGGACATTACGTAAATAACAATAACTTTCGCTTTATAGACTCTTTGTTTACATTTTGACCAATATAATCATGTTTGTAAAGTGAACAATACCTTTTTATCATTTAAATAAATGATGTTAAATGTTACCACTTTTAAAAAAATCAATACAAAACAACCAACACAGTTTACCAATGTATCAATATGATACCATGACCAATACATTATTTACTGAATGTGTATTGAACGACCAATACACGTTTAACCACATTATTTAATGAATGTGTATTGAAGAATGTGTCCTAGTGGGCACCAACAGGAAAAGATGATGGTGGGCAGACCAACGCGACAGGTTGTGATATATCGTTATATGTTAGTACAACATACACTACAGTCACATTTGTTCTCGCTATATTACATGTTGTTTTTCAAACAGACGTTAACATACTCAGTTTGGAGTTTCAACATATTTTATTATCTTATATCTTTTATAGTTGAATAACTTTTGCTATAGAACACACATTTAAAGGTCGGATTAAAAAAAAAGCGATCAAGGAATTGTCTTGATCGAATAGGTAAAAAAAAATCCCTTTCTTAGAGCTATGGCGTCTTCTTCTTTTCAACCCTGAAAGGAGCATAGACCATTTACAACACCTTTCAATGTTTCCTATATCCTGGGCCCTGTTTTCAAAAGTCAAATAAAACCAAAACCACATTTTCTCAAAATTGTTTTCGTAAGACTACTCAATTCTACTGAATCCGCTAGTTAGTTAGACATAAGTTACAATTCCATTCGCTAGTTAGTTAGACATCAACTTACAACTCTATTCTACTGAATTCGCTAGTTAGTTAGACCTCAACTTACAACTCTATTCTACTGAATCCGCTAGTTAGTTAGACATCAACTTACAACTCTATTCTACTGAATCCGCTAGTTAGTTATACATCAAGTTAAAACTCTATTCTCCTGAATTCGCTAGTTAGTTAGACATCAACTTACAACTCTATTCTACTGAATTCGCTAGTTAGTTATACATCAAGTTACAACTCTATTCTTCTAAACAGTGTTTCTTCCAGACTTTTTTCTCCGCGGGTGAGATGCCTGGAAGAAACTCTGCTTCTGAATTCGCTAGTTAGTTATACATCAGGTTACAATTCTATTCTACTGAATTCGCTAGTTAGTTATACATCGTTACTAAGTTCAAATACAACATGTCTCTCTTTTGACTACTTCAAAATAGGTCAATATTTAAATATTAATAATAATGTGAATAAGGGAGCCTGCATATCTTATATAACACAAAAGCGTAGGGGTAATTAAACATTTTGTTATATTGCATTGTATAAAATAGGTGGTATAGGTTATAAAACTTTATATAAAGTAAGGGTATGTAAAAAAATATAAATATTGGTTTAGTATACAAGGTCTATATGCAGGAGCATAGTTGCCTGCCATTTGTAAATAAACTAAACTGTATATCTAGTTTACGCTTGATCTTGCCAACAATGAAGATAGCAAAGCCTTATTAGGGAGAAATGTTTAAAATACTCGGCCAAGATTGTTACAGTTAATCGTAAAGACAAGTAGTCAATTTCAGCTTACGTTTTTCTGTTTTCAATTTTTTTTTCTTATTTATATTAATAGAAACATCTAGTGGTGGTAATTCATGTGTACGAGAAGTGGTTTAATATGTTCACCAGAGGTGGTTTAAAATCTTCACCAGAGGTGGTTATATACATCTACCAGAGGTAGTGTTGTTATATATTCTAACAGACAGAGGGGGTGGTTATATAAGTCTACAATAAGTAGTATTTATATACGTCTAACAGAGGTGGTAATATAAGTCTATCGGAAATGGTAGTTATAAGCGTCTAACAGAAGTCGTGTTTATATACGTCGACTAGATTCCTGGTGGGTATTTGACTGTTAAAGATCATTGTTTTCTTGTTATTATCACTAACCTTCTTCTTCTTCGTTCTTCATTGTAACATAATAGTATTACATGTTAACATGTTATGTCTCATACGGTTCGTCGGCTCCGACTTCAGCCACGAACATTCTGCAACGCAGCAGTTGATTGGGTTATTTTCTTTCCGAGATGGCGTACCGTCTCCAGCTAATGAGCCTCATTTTCCCAGGGTCCAAACTCTGTCACGTATCATTTTCCCTAATCCTAACACAAACTCTAATTAAATAGGAGGTAACATTTTATAATAAAATTAAAAAAAAAACACCACTTCGCCTTATTACTCATTTCTAAAAGATGAATTAAAAATAAAAATCACCAATACTTTCTTAATAGACTTAACAATCAGTATTATTCCTATCAGTCAGTACTATTTCTGTCAGTACCATTCCTGTCAGTACCATTCTTGTTAGCACCATTCTTGTTAGCACCATTCTTGTCAGTACCATTCTTGTCAGTACCATTCTTGTCAGTACCATTCCTATCAGATGTCGACATTTTGGTCCTTTCACCACTGTCTGCTAGTGCACTCCCCTCCTAACCTGAAAGTCACAGGTTCAGATACCTAAGTCAACTTAGCTTTATTCTGTATCTAGCATGACTCGGGAAATGTAGAATCTGTTAGGTAAAGTGTAGACGACACAACCCCTTCATAAGCCGAGATGAAAGAAACAGATTAACTCTACATCCTCTGCATTTAATGAACTGTTAAGTCAAAGAATTGTATCTCTAACCCTTTAGGCTGGCCCGCGTCAACCATGTTTAGGGAGCGCCAACCCTTGTCAACCATCTATACTTTCTTCTAATTACCAACCATCGATACTTTCTCCTAATCACCAACCATCTATACCTTATTCCAATCACCAACTATCTATATTTCCTCCCAATCAACAACCATCTAGACCTTAAACACCAACCATCTAGACCTTATCTCAAGCACCAACCATCTAGACCTTATCCCAATCACCAACCATCTAAACCTTATCTCAAACACCAACCATCTAGATCTTATCCCAAGTACCAAGAAGCTATACTTTATCCCCGTTTTCTTTCATACATTTTCAGGTGTGTTCTCCCCTCCCCCACCCCAAATCCTCGCAGACAAAAGAGAATAATGTAAAACATTACATGTACATAAGAATATATGCTTTAACCATTGTCCATTCCCCCCCCCCCCCCCTCAACCTCATAGGTTTGAATATCTAACCCTCCTTTCAAAGCAAAATGTCTGAAAGAAACCCCGACTTTATCCCCAAACAGCAACCATCTATACTTAAGTATCGATGGTACACTTTATCCAAAAACAGCCCCCCGTCTCATCCCTCCTCCACCCCTTCCCCTCTAACCCCCGCTTAAAAAAAAACGCAATAAAAAAAACAGCATGTAAAGATCCGGGGATCAAACCCAGCTGACACGAGCAATCTTCCAGCGGTCAGCACCGGTCAGAAACACGACTGACCGTATCAGCTGCGGTCATCCCTTGTGGTCAATGTATTTGATCAACCTAACGAGCTAAAGCGGCTTTTAATTTGGAACTAATTACCATGTTTACAGACCCGTGCACGGTGTTACCCCCCCCCCCGTCCATCCATCCATCCACCCCCCCTCCTCTTTTTTTGTCATTAGAACCAAGACAAGTGAAGATGGTCTCCCCCCCCCCCCCTACAATGTAGCTACACCCTGTAATAGAAGCTAGTGGTGAGCACCAGGACAGTGATAGGAAAAAAAAAGATGAAAATGACGCTCGCCGTGTATTAGACTAGTTCCTTCCTTACGGACTCTGCCAGTATCGGCTCCAGCCTCCCCCCCCCCTCTTCTTCATCAGACGAGGGGGCGTTGTCTGAGGAGGATCTGTCATTTCTTTTTTTAAACAAAAGTTAGCCCCGCCCAATTGGTAATTCAGCTCCCCCTCCCTTTCCACCGGGCAATAAATTGGCCACGCCCATAAAAGAATTTTTTTTCGTATTTATTTTTCTCTTTAGTTCGGTTAAAAAAATTCTATACCCTATCTTTAGAAAAAAAAGTACTTTGACCGTTATTTACACTAGAATTTATAAAATATATTTTTGTAAAATAATACAAACATGAATTTAAAAAAAAATAATTCAGAATATGGAGTTAAAATTAGAATTAGATTTGAACAGAACGAGATGTCGAAGGGAAAAAGACACGAGAACCCAAGCGAAAGCGAGGCTTAGCGAGGCTGTTGCGGTCGATAACGTCGTGCGTGAACGTGAAACACAAGCGGGCCCTCTCTCGCGTCTGCAGCCAATCCTGAGCCGAGCCGCGAGGTGGCTGTAATTTAATCGTTCATAATGATTTGTCAATCAAGCCCTCGCGTCGACCAATGGAGACGTCGCTCGCGCCTCATCTGGGATGATAATGCTAGCGCTGAACTCGTACGATTCACAATGCATGAATAAGGCAGACTAACAGTCGGATTTTGCAAGTCTGATTTGCACTAGCTATTGTGAAGTGTACACATTTGGCCAGTCTGACCGCTTGTGACTATTTGTGTGTGTCTTACGGCCTGAAAGTAGATTAGTCAGAATTCTAATTCTGTGGACTTCTCAATTTTTTCTGTGTGTTTAAGAAACGGATTTGCTTAGACTCGAGCTTGTTTATGCGAATTTGAAATCGTACTACAAGGTAATACATTTTAGATCTTCGTCATTTTTTTTTTATATTCAACTTGACCTGTGTGGAAAACTTAGAATTTATTTCGGTCAAGAGCAAAGTTTTTCATGAATGCTACCGCCAGCGTGAAGCGCAGGTTAGCCTAGCTTTCAATATTGCTGTCCAACTTTCACCATAGCTGTGGATTGCTACAGTATGGCGGCACCTAGCGCATCCCTCTACTTGCCATCTAGTGTGCCGTCGTCACTCAACACGGGTCAACCCATGACCCACGGGATGCATGTTTCCAACCAGCAGTACTCACCGCATAGGGATATGCCGGAGATGAAGTACATCCCTGCCCAGCCGCACCAAAACGGCCACAACATCCACGGCGGGCAGCACCACAACCCCTGGCTGAGTCACAGTCCGCACGGGGACACCGGACACTGGTCAACCATGGGGCACTTACACCACCAGGAGATGAAGGTCAGTTCTGTCAACAACATGGACGGTCACGGCGGCACCCTGCACCACCGGCCCACACACCATCAGATGCAGGTGGCGCAGCAGCACTGGCAGATGCCGCCCCTGCAGAACTTACAGTCCCTTCAGAACCCCGGGCACATGCAGCACCAGGGCTACCCCATGTCCATGAACGGCATGATGTCCCCGGGGCACCAGATGCACCACGTCCTGCGGGACCCCGACCACGACCTTGACCCACACCCGCCGTCCGACGAAGACGCCCCCACCTCCGACGACCTCGAAGCTTTCGCAAAACAATTCAAACAACGCCGCATCAAGCTCGGCTTCACGCAAGCGGATGTCGGTCTGGCGTTGGGGACGCTGTACGGCAACGTGTTTAGTCAGACGACGATCTGCAGGTTCGAAGCCCTGCAGCTCAGCTTCAAAAACATGTGTAAACTGAAGCCGCTTCTACAGAAGTGGTTGGAGGAGGCCGACTCGACGACAGGGTCGCCCACAAACATTGATAAGATCGCAGCTCAAGGCAGAAAGAGGAAGAAGAGGACCAGCATTGAGGTGACGGTAAAAGGCGCGTTAGAAAGTCACTTTATGAAATGCCCGAAGCCGTCTGCCCCGGAGATCACCCACCTGGCCGACCAGCTACAGCTGGAGAAGGAGGTCGTGAGGGTGTGGTTCTGCAACCGCCGGCAGAAGGAGAAGCGGATGACACCCCCGGGGAACATCGGACCCAACGGGGAGATCATCATGCCCGAGGGTAACGACGACTCGTCCCTGAACGACGGCAGCCCCCTCCACGACTCCTGCAGCCCGATACACAGCAGCGGGGGCGGCGGAGGCGGCTCCCCGGTCATGCAGAGCTACAGCAGCTCCCTGACGCCCCACTCGATGAACCACCCCGGGTCGTCGCCCATGTCTCAGGTCTCCTCGTTACTCTCCTACTCCATGGGCGGGCACCCGCACCACCCCCAGCACCACCCCGGCTCCCACTCGCCTCCACCCGCCGTGCCACACCACTACCAGCTCCAGCAACAGCAGCATTCTCTGGGAATGAAACATTCGCCGCCGTCGCACTGACTAGCGGCCGAGGAGTCACATCACCATCACCGGTATGTGGACTCCTACAGTGGAGCACACCACGCTGAAGACTATTCCCCGTACTCGCCACGGTAAAACGACTCTGTACCTTCTACCCGAGAGTTTTCACCTGAACTATTCCCCGCACACCTCTGGTCCCCAGCCCTGGTCCAGCACCACAGACCTACCGGTGCTCTGTTCCAGCTTGAACTTGTTCCCTAGACAGGATGTCTTTACATACGATACATATTCGTGGATTCCCTGCAGGACTTGTTGAGGACACTCCAGGACACTCCAGGACACAGTTAGCCTTAACGCAGGTATCAACACACCCCCATGTGTGTAAGTAACATGCACTCATTTAAATAATTAATTATAATTAAGGCTAATCTTGTTTACGTATCATAATGCAGGATCACTGCGTTTTTAATTTAAATTTCTCGATGAAATAATTTCTCTAGGATATACACAATTTAACACCATTTTATTGTTAAGTCGGAACGTGTTTCCATTTTTAAATATGCACTCAAACTAAAACGACGCAAGGTTTTTATATTCTTGTACAAACATCTTAAATATTTTTAATTTTAGCACCGCAAAAAAAAATATTACCCGATAAATGAGATGCCCGTATGTTCTGGGGATATGACGGGAAACTTTACTAGTAACCTGACCCGTCTACAACCAGGGTGTAGGGGGTTTTCTAAAGGTAGATACGCGGTGCCGGCGACCCAACAGGATTAGGAAATGAAAAAGACTTTTCATCCCTGTAAGGTGCCGTGTCTGTGAAGCCGACGCAGTATCACGGCTGGCATCTTTTCGACCTGATGCCTCAGCTAAATGTGGAGCCATCTATTTTTTTTCTCCGTGTTCCCCCCGGAAAAATGGCGTTAAACCCCGGATAATAACATGTTAAACCCACAGCTAAACCCCGAGTAATCGCACGTTGAGCCGAGGAAGACCGAAGAGTTACGATAGTCATCTTGTTTTTATTTAAATATTTAAAATAAAAGTACAAACGGATTTCATTCTTGTATACAATCAGACTGACGAACTAGATGGAAATTTTTTTTATTCCGGGTAAATTTTTTTTTTACTCGTGATTAAAAAAATTTTAATTAAAAAAAAATTAAATTATTCACTAAGCTATGTGATCCTGCATACACCTTAAGCCGGCTGCCGGAGCCGGCTGCTTGAGCCGTCTGACCCGGCTCAAAAACTAGGCTCAATTTTCCGAGATTGCTGTTTTCAATGTTTCTCTTATGTGATTCATGCTGCTAATGTAAGACAGTGGGTGACGTCTCTGTTACCATTGGTCAAATCAAGTCATGTGATCTTGCTATAAATAACTCAAAACATTTTGGAGAGAACCACAAAAAGGCTGTCTCACTTTTAAAAAAAAATAAAATGTATTTGCAGGTGAATGTATGCATGTGTGATGTGTGTTGAGTGAATGTGTGATCGCGGCGTGTATTTGAGTGTGTAATGTGAGTTTGCACAATGTGCTAGACTTATTTACCTAACCTAAATTTGAAACCTAACCCAACATTAATAAACAAACACAATATTTTTATTTAGATCAATATTTTATTTTTATTTTTAAACCCATGTTCCACTACAATTTATTAAAAAAAACAACCACGAATTCATTACAAAATACCCCTTTTTATATAATAAAAGTTGTAAAGTTGTTTAAAATAACTTATTTACAAAGTTATCTTTCATTCAAATTAATTTTTTTAAAATTTAAACAAAATGCAATTATTTAGTTAGCCAATATCCTACACACATGTCAATTATTTTTTTATGTAACATGAAATAAAAAACAAATCACCAGTTTTTTAAAGAAAAAATGTGAATACGGCCAATGAAATGAAACTATTAATGTTGGCATATAGAGTTGAGTAGTCACCGTAGCTTACGTTTATTTCTCCCAATTCAGTGCATGTCGATTTGTAGGAAATAAATTAAACACGAACACCGAGCCAATCACCATTGATTTGATCCTAACCCGCGGGACAGTCGGCTGAAAAACAAATGGCGTTGATTTACTATAAAACCTAGCGCCATCTTGCAGTTAGACGTTGATACCATTTCATCAGCGCGCGTGGGACGGGGGGTGATGACGTTAATTACCTTGTGCCTGGGCCACCCTCTGTGTGTAACTGTCTGCTTATGTTACATAGGGAACGTCTTTATATGTAACTTTTTACATGATTGTTTACGGGCTTTGTGTGGTACATTTGGATGGGGGGCTGGGGTGGGTAGGTGTACAATTTTAGGGTTCAGGTGGGTAGGTGTAAAATTTTAGGGTTCAGGTGAGTAGGTGTATAATTTTAGGGTTCAGGTGGCTATGTGTACAGTTTTAGGGTTTAGGTGGGTAGGTGTAAAATTTTAGGGTTTAGGTGGGTAGGTGTAAAATTTTAGGGTTTGATGGGTAGGTGTAAAATTTTAGGGTTCAGGTGGGTATGTGTAAAATTTTAGGGTTAGGTGGGTAGGTGTAAAATTTTAGGGTTCAGGTGGGTAGGTGTAAAATTTTAGGGTTTGGTTTGGGTGCAAATGTGTAATTGAAAAGGTTCAGGTTTGTTAGTTGTAAAGATTTAGGGTTTATCCAAACAGGTGTACCACTTGAATTGTTCAGGTGTAAAACTGTAGCATGTTAATTATCAACACAAAGTTTTATTCCAAGTTAAATAATGTTAATTTAAAAACAAGCAAGAAAAATTTGACTGACACTGATGTGTGACGAGCTAAAACACGCTGTGTTGTATGTGTATGTATGTGTAAGTGTAAGCATCGTTTATACATTTGTATGGTGTGTATGACTTATGAGACATATAACATTATGTACGTTAGAAATGTTTACTAATCTGGGTTGACTAAAATATACACGTGTGTATGTATGCATGTGTGTGTGTATTATCTGGTCTATTTTTAACATTAAGTTTACATTCATGCAAGATCCATTATTTATTCTTGTAAAACAATTATTTAACTATTTAAACAAATATTATAACACTGAACTTCGTTTTCTTTCTTCCTTTAAAAAAAAAAGCGTTTTATTTGTTGAATTTTACCATTCAAGTACTTGAATCAAAAAGCCAGTTTTATTTAGTCTTGGGATCAAAATGTAGGGTAACATTTAGGATTTGGGGAAACACTCCTTGAAGTGGTGACACTCTCTTAATGGTGGTGACACACTGTTATTGGTGGTGACATTCTCATAGAGCTGGTGACACGACATTCTCTTATTAATGGTGACACCCATAATTGACCGGACGCCATATCATCATAACCTGGAAAGCAAACCTACTACCAAAAAAAAAAACAAAAAAAAAACAAACAAAACTAGCTATGATTTGTCTTTTTTCACCATTAGCTATTCCAAATAGACAGCTCTTTATGTTAATCAATTGTATTAAACACCATCTTTAGCTAATACTCTAGCCATCGACACCGAAGCTAATGTACTAGCTAAATAGAATGTAGCTAATATTATAACTGTATAATTTTTCTAATATTGTAACACCGAAGCTAGTATACTAGCTATAGAGAATGTAGCTAATATTATGGCTATATACTTTAGCTAATATTCTAGCTATGGACAATTTAAAACAAAACAGTTGGCGCAGAACATGACACCTAATATGAAGATACGGGTTTAGATCTTGCCTGTCTGAACTCTACTACTTCAGTAAAACTACGTGTACATTTGTCTCATTGAAACAACACTGTGTACAGTTATTTCTCATACGTTCAACTACAACAAATCATTATTTTATAAGCACAACCCATTTTTAAAAACAAATATTACTATCTTGTCAAAAATAATTATAATTCCTCAGTCACTCGCGGTTAAACATCTAAATTTTCTTCACCACCCGTCAATTTTAACGGTTGGCCAGTTGCCCTACTTGTTTATTAGCTATCTCTTTACTTCTACTGGTACCTTGTCCACGCAACAGACCGGTGAAAAATATTACAGATGTAGTCTAGGAAAGAAAAAAAAATAACAAAAAAACTAGCAGTCCGACCCGTCCCATCGATTTAAACCACGGGACAATATCCACAGTGTAACGTTCGGATGTGGCAGACACGGTAGAAAACCTCGATCATTGGTTAAAATTTCATTGCTGGGTGTTTTTTTTTTCCTCCACCGTCTACTATTGAAAGCGAAAGTGAGAGAGAGGAAGAGAGAAAGAGAGAGAGAAAACAGAAATATCAAGGAGAAGAAAAGGTGTGATCGACAGAGTTGGTTTAACTGCTTTCTAGCGGTGGAGCCAGCAATAATATTTGAAGAGGGGTGTGTAGCCGGGCCATTGTTCGGGGTCCCGCACTGTAGCGGGTAGCAGCACGGCTACACTTGTAGCCTACATAGGTCGGCCCACCGCTACAGTGTAGCCTAGATAGACCTGAGCCTGGACAAACAGAGCCAGACGACACCTAGCGGGGAGGATAGAACGACATTTTTTTAACGGATACAAATATTGTTGGACAAATTCGGCCTTTGTTTTTAATCAATATATATTCTAACGATTTTTGAACTAGAATCCAAGTACAATTTAAGCATCAGAGAAGTTTTCATTTTTTAAATCTAGAAATATTGAAAGAAATGATATATATATATATATATATATATATATATATATATATATATATATATATATATATATATATATATATATATATATATATATATATATAGTTAACGTATTATTTTAGTTTTAAAAATTTTATAAAGTGGTAAGCGATTAAAGTTAAGTTTTGTTCATTAACAGAAATTCTACTAAAATCAATCAGATAGGCCTAATTAAATTAATTGACAAATTGAGGTCTGCTAGTAAAATTCGGCTCTGGGAAGCGTAAAAAAAAAAAAGGCTGACATTTATTTCGTAAAAATAATTGGACTGTGCCTTTAGTTTTTTAAACAAACAAAATGCCGTTAAAAGTTTGAAATACAAGTGTTCCGTTTCGCCGCGTAAGATTTTCTTTCGCGGAGTTTTAAGCAAATAGTGCGGCGTTAATTAAGATCGCCTCGTGATGGAAACCTGATCTCCCCCTTCCACCCCCATCCCCACCCTCAATCTACCTTGGATCCATTCACAAAATGCAATCATTTCATTGGGGTTAAAAAATGAAACATTGGAAACGGAGAGAGAGAGATAGATGGATAAAAAATATGTCTATTCGGGCGTGCCCCGGTATGTTTTGGCCAGGTATCTTGTGGGAGGCCATTTGGCCAGGTTTCTGTTGTATGGGGCCATGTGGCCAGGTATCTGTTGTATGGGGCCATGTGGCCAGGTATCTGTTGTATGGGGCCATGTGGCCAGGTAGGTCTAGTCATTGTCAGGGTGGCTTGGGGTTTTGGTCATTGTACCCAAAAAGTTTCATCTCTTTTCTTAATTTCACTTTCTCTCTCCTCCCCCCCCTCTCTCTCTCCCGTCCTCCTACCATCTATACCTCACGAGGCATCATCTCTTCTGTCACGTGATACGATTGTTAGAGAGAAAAAAATGGATGTCTTTTCAACAAATGCTCGCGACCTACTGTTTACAATACATCCTACCAATTGTATAGCACCATCCATAGATCTACGTTCACAATTCACATAACAATCTTACAACTAGCTTATTCATACCTTCTGTCTAAGAACTATTTTAATTAAAGGAACCTTAAATTCACACAATAAAAATAAAATTATTGTTCTAATTGGACTAATGAGCAAAAACCGCTATATTTCTGAACTCAGTATGGTCTTGCTAAAAAGAATATTACATCTGTTTTAAGTAAAGAATCTATGGATTCTTGTTTTCAAGTATAGTTAGGGAAAAAAACCCAATTAAAAATGTAAGAAAAACGCCTATTGTAGAAACACAATGTATTACATATTTCTATACACATACATCAGTCGTGTGTCTGGTTAGTGTCGTGTGTCAGTAATGGTCAACTGTGTCCGTTTTCGTCACGGTCTGTAGTGTCAGTCACTTGTACACACGTTTCCTACAACCTGTCAATCCCAGGTGCTATCTTGAATTTCATGTGTTATTCACCATCTTTTCGATGTATCTATCTATCGTTACTTTAAGACTAACAGTTATAAGCTCCACTATTCAACCACGACGTCCTTTAGAACGATATATTGGGATATCTAAAAGATGGTCAATAACACATGAAATCTGTAATTCATTGTGTTGCTAGAACCGGTGTTTAATTTTTAAATTGGTTTTTCCTGACTATACTTGAAATCAAGAATCCATAGATGTCCCAATGTATCGTTCTGAAGGACGGCGTGGTTGAACTGTAGAGCCTATAACAGCTAGTCCAAAAGTCTCGAGTTCGGATCCCCAGACTTGATTCTGTAGGACGTCACTGAGTCCACCAACGTCGGGTGGGTACCCTAACTCATGCTAGGGAAAGTAATCCGACTGGGCATGGTAAGGACCTCACATAGTGCCGAGGCTATTGAAGCAGATAAACTCTACTTCATCTGCCCTATGTGTCTTGGACACGAAAGAGAAAAGATGATGAGATGATTAATCGTCCACCTTACAATGTTCTGTCACATAAAAATAAAATCCAACTTGATGCACCCGATCTTCCTTAAAACACCATCACCATCAACCCACAACGACAACAACAACCCAACTGGTCTTTTCACATGTCAGCTCCATTAGTTTGTCATTTTAAAAAGACGACCGCTGTAACTGTCACACCATGTCTTCATTTGCCCCCCCCCCCCTCCCCCACCACTAACCAACCAACCCACCGCCGTGCTAACCACCCTCTCTCGCCCCAGATATAGCAGTAAATATAAAGATTGCCATCTTTCATTAACTCCTGAAATAGGATCTCAGCTCTTCTGATCAACTTGACACTCTAGTCGCGACAACTTGGCACTTTGTGAAGCAACATCGCACACACGGAGATATTTTGTTGTGCTGTTTAAAGGGAATCGTCATAGGAATATATGGGACTGTAGAAGGGAATCGTCATAGAAATATATGGGATTGAAGGAGGGAATAGTCATATGAGTATATTGGATTACAGAAGGGAATTATCACGGGTGAATATTGGACAATGGTAGGGAATAATCATCAATAAACTACTGATTGGAATTATCATTGGAAAATAGTGGACTATTGCGGATATAATGGAATAATCATAGGGAAAAATTGGAAGGGTATATGGGAATAATCCTACCACTATCCGAGACAAACAGCAATGCTTTTTTTAAAACAATGGCTCCGATTCACACGGTAAAAGCTACTTTCATTATGTT